TCGCGAACTGTAGCGGCTGCAACCTCCCTGAAGCGATGGGAACGATGATCTTGCCACATGGCTTCCACCTCCAGTGCATGGGCCAAGGCGTCCTTAAGCGTCTCCTGGTGCCCGAGCCTCACAGCAGCTCTGACTTCAAGGTCGCAGATGCCGTCGATGAATGTCTGCACCAGGTTCCCTTCAATGAACCCCGGTACAGACCGTTACGCTTTTCGCACCAGCTTCTCCACCTCTAGAGCCCACTGCTGCAGGTTTTCGTTGCTGCTTGTTGAACACGCGATCTTTCAGCTGTGCGCGAAAGACGTGTTCCAGGTGAGCGTCGCCATATCTCGCCTCCAATGCCTCAAGGAGCTACTCGTAGGTCACTTTCTTACCGAGAGCTTCCAACACAGTTAAGGCACAGTTAAGGCACAGTCACGCAAGCCTAGGGTGAGTGCAGTCATGGCCTGGCATTTATTCCAGTCGTTCGCCTCCATGACGGTCTCGAACTGGATTTTGTAGGCCGACCAGGAAGAATTCCCGTCGAACGGCGGCACTTTCAATCCACGTAGCGAAGGTGTAGCTACTACGGGAACTGTAGTTCCATCCCCAAGTTTGAGGTTGTTCAGCGTTTTCTTCACGTCAGCCATCACGTTTTCAACCCGATTGTTCACTTGGTCGATTCAGGTTTCAGCTTTCGCGATTTGGGTTTCAGCTTCCGACAGGCCGTTGTCATGCTGAGCAACCCTATCCTTCACCTCCTTTATCTCCTTCCCGAAGGTAGCGTGAAGGTCCTTCATGAGGAGCATCTGCTCTTCCAACCCACGGGCCTGTTCCTCCTGTCGGCGGGCCTGTTCATCTTGTCCGCCCCGCAGCTGCTCTTCCAACCGACGGACCTGTTCCTCCTCCACCCCGGAGCTGTTCTTCCAATCGGCGAGCCTGTTCCGCCTGCTGGCGAGCCTGATCCTGCAGCATCATCGTGAGAACACCTAAGTCAGGTGCTGCAGGTGTAGGCAGCTGTTGACGGGCCAGCCTCCGTGGCTGGTAGTTGGCCCCTCGACGTCTGCGGTGTTGAAGCACCAAATCTTCTCTGGTCCGTCTCATGCTGGCGTTGATTTCGGATACGGACACCCTCCGTTTCCTCCTTAGGTAAAATCGGCATGATTATATCCCACTTCTGACACCAATTGTTACGAGCTTGAGGTTCGTGACAATAAAAACTGCCGATTGAATTACCAAAAATTTACCCTTTTAATTTTCTTTACACCAACTAAAACTTAAAACACTAATAATTAATCACACTGATTCACTTTATTTCGCTCCGAAGCTTCGCTTGTCTCGCCAAATTCAATACTGCCTCGATAGCGGGTTGCAGCGGCTTTAAATACACATTTTTCACCGAAACATCCAGAATATTCAAGTAAATACGCCAACCGACGAGGCGCAGAAAGTTCGAGTGTGGGGCTTCTAGAAAGCTTAATTCTTCTGTTCGATACTAGATGGCGCTGTTGGTCGAAAGTCAAGATTGACATTTTCTAGGAAGCCCTCCTCGCTCTGGTCCCTGACACTAGATGGCGCTAGTGCCGGGTACATGACGTCAACTTAGGCGCGCAACATTACTAAATGCAATGAATATTAATCAACTCGTAATATTATTTAGTTTTTTTTTACATGGGGAAATGCTTACGCATACCCGCCTTACGGGGACAACAACGGGTTATATCGGACTCGTACCGACTAAAACCACCGTGGCCCTGCTTATATGCGACGAAGGTTCCAAGGTGTTCGTCGCATATAAGCAGGACCACGGGAACGCTTTTGCACACGTCCGCGGCCCCACCAGCACTGGTCGCCCTATGGCGGCTTCTTCTTGGGAGAGGACTACTCTTCCCCTATCTCCTTCTCAGCTAGGGCGCTTCAGAACACATGGCGTGCCCTCCTCCGCGGCATCTTCATCTTCACATGCGGAACAGACTCTCCCGTATCGATGCGGGAAGGCCATGGGGCCAGGAAAAACGAGCACTCACTAGCCTTCCTGACCACAGTGGCGGATCTGGTCTATGGCTCCGCCGCCAGCCAATATTCGGCTGTGGAGGGCAGGGAGAGCGGCACCTCGCAATACCGACACTGCTCTCCCGCCGCAGGCCCAAAACCACCGCATCAATTAATGGTGCGTTCCCGTCAGAGCCGCGAAGGCTAGGATGAGTGGCGCATCGCCATCCAACAGACCAACACTCCTCTTTCTCCGCGACTCCACCTCGACTGCAGTGGTAGGGGGAGAGGGCACCCCTCTCGCCAATGCACATCCGACTAGGAGTGGCATCCTCAGGCCGGCCCTAGACCTCAGGCCAGCCATGTGGGTTCCTTTTAGTTCAATAGATTACTGCATATATACTAGAGAGTACAGTAGGTCACCGCGGGTAACCATGCCACGGCCACGGCTACTAAGTCCCCCGGCCACGATAAGATGGGAACCTTTCAGGGGGGATTCTAGTCTAGTCCTAGATTTACTTTTGAATAAACTTATTGCGGTATTACGTTGGTAGTTGGTACCTATTGTGTTTTGAAAATGTAGTGGTCGCAAACATTCATGCGTGCAATACTAAACTGATTTTTTCTTCTCATATTATCGGACTTTTATTCCTTAATTTGCTCGTGTTCCTTAAGGAGCTATAAGAGTTATATCACATAACAGAAATTCACGCTAGCCGTCTTTGAATAAATTGAGTTTTTGTGCCACGTACGTAAAGACCAACAATACTGCTCGACTAGATTTCGGCTCGCGGCATGGCCCGAGTACATTTTTCTCTGATCTGCTCTTCTTATGGCCTTTAAGCACTTTTTCTTATTACATTCTTTTTCGGTACATTAATAAACAGCTTGTCAGGCGTTTTTCCACTTGCATTTGTACACAGAGATACAATGCAATACGTTCTGACCAAAATGCACGCGCCTCGAAACAAAACGGGTAGGTAGCGGACTGGCGGGAAGCGACCGGAGCAAAGCGGTCGCCCGTACCGTAAAACACCATTTTACTCATCATATTTTAGTCATTTTTATAAGTAGAAAAAAAATTAAAATACCGTTAAATTCGTAATTTTTTATACAATGTTTTGATACCCTTAACAAAACTGGGAAGTCAGACCCATTACAGACTGTGAGACATTCCATATTGGTACTTAGACGTGACAACGCATCGATCATGACGGTAGATGAAAATGAAAAAAAAAAGTTTATTGTTTAATTATCACTGTATTAATATATATTTACAAAAATACATAATTCATAGATACATTTTACTGATACAGAGTTTTAGTGCAGCTTACACGAGAACAAAGAAACTGTTACAATAGTTATTTTATCAATATGACTACAATGCTTGTTTATTAAAGAAATTTGTTGTTTTCTGAATATTTAAAGAATAATCTTTATTAATTAAATACTCAGTAGTTTATTTAGCTTCTGAAAATACCAGTGCCTTTTGCTTATGTTGTAATTTATACATGTATTGAGTTAATTTTGATTAGAATGTTAAAATGTTTTGGTCAATGGGTATTTAACAATCAAGGAAATTAAAATACTTTTCAAAAGTTGACAAACAAAACAAGACAGGGGCAGGCATTTTATTTTATTTTAAGAGAATGCGGTGTAGTGTTGTAATGACGTCATTGTTGCCATTGTGAAATTTTAATCTTAATTGTATGTTTTAAAATACAAAAAAGACATATTTAACTTACATACAAAATCGACCCTTAAGCTTTAGGTAGTTCAGAGTCTAAGAGCTCGGCGTAAATTTTACAGAACGCAAACGACGCGGACTCGATACACGTCGGCACCGACGAATTTTTTAATTGCAATTTTAAGTGTTGATTCACCACATCGACGATGGTAAAGAAAAACGACGGGTAAGGACAAACATCATGAGAAAATCAGCATATTTGAGATATTAAAAAAAATATTTTGAAGACGTGAAGTCCACCAACACGCACTGGAGCGGAGCTGCAGCAATTCTTTGTTTCTTTGCTAAACTCTCTCAGAAGTGAGGAACTCTGTACCCAGCAATACAACACATAATATATAACGCTGTAACTTTACAAAATCCAATAAATTTAGAGACTGCGAAAAACAGCAAAATCAAATTACATTATGTATTAATTAATTAATAGTAGAAGCAAAGAAAATAAGAGTGAGCTAATAAATAAGTTATTTATAAAAGTAATAACAGCAAAATCAAAGTCAAGTTTATTCTGTTATAATAGTAGGTGAAAATGATATACTTGTGTAATTTCAATTTTAAATATTATTCAATAATAAAATATTTTTATTTTATATTACAAAAAAAGGAATCAGTGATTACTATCAAGATGTATTTGTAAGCAATGAGTTTGCCTTGTTACTTGTATATCAGTATCAGAATAATAAATATAGCAAATATTGCTAAATTATTGATTACAAAAATCAAAATTGTAAAGCAAATAACACGCGTGGCTGATTACAAAAATAAAATAGTATCAACATTCTAATAATATTCTCGAAGTTTTAATATTAAATAGTAATTTATTTAATATAATTGTAACATTCTTATAACATTAGTAATTTTATTAATTTCGTCATTGAATATGAAAAAGGAAACATCATAAAAATTATATATTTGTTTAAAAGTGATATCACAGTTACACAATAATTTTTGTTTTTATTCAAGTACTGTCCAGTTGCATAGATTTTAAAACCTTAATTTTCTAAGTTATTACATTGTTTCGATTGATTTATCACGTCTATTTGTGTAAAATAATTTTGCATTTTAACTCATCGAAGTAATATGTACTACGTACTCGAAGAGATGTTGAGATTTGTTCATTCGCAAGACGGATTAGAGCTCGCGGGTCCAACCTTGCTTAGTCTGTGCCGTACAAAGGTACTCTGTGCCTCCGACCACGCGACCCTCACTGCCGCACAGATTTTATCGCGGTGTCTGTTCTAGTACGTCAACTTGAAATGTTTTTATTTGACAAGAATGAGTGTTATAGTTGTATGTAAGCATGTGTGTTGATGGGTGTCCGACGCGGTGTGGTGATGTGCGGTGCGGTGCGGTACAGCAGTGCTAGTGCGGGTGCGGGTGCAGCGGCAGCAGTGCGGCGGCGCCGAAGGGCGGGCGGTAGTGCAGCGCGCGGTCGCGGAAGATGGCGGGCGGCGGCGCCAGGTTGGCCAGGTAGGCGCGCCCCAGCGCCGGTGCCAGCGCGGCCGGCACCAGACCCAGCAGCGCGGCGCGCGCGCGCACACCGTCCCACCCGCCGCCCCCCCTCACCTCCCTCGCCCGGCGGCTCCAGCGCCACCACCGCGCCCCGTGACACTGACACCCAGCGCAGCGCCTCCCTGACCATATTTTTTTCATAGAAAAAAGTAACAAACGCCCACACAGTCCACCTGACGGTAAGAGGATGCTGTGGCACAACAATATCCATATTTATCTTAAATTAAGAATGAAAATGCGGTACGTTATGACTGAGATCGAACACCTCGTTTCCAGTAAACAGAGTCTCCGGTTCTCTACACTCACCATACGGAACAAAGCGGCATTAGGCTCATTATATACCATCGTCATCATCATAATTACAACCCTTCACAAGTCCACTGGTGAACATAGGCCTGCCGCAAGGAAGGCCACAAGGCACGTTCCTGAGCCCCCTGCATCCCGTCTATATATAATGTCGAAATAACTGCCTTCATTTGAGCTCAAATATAAAAACGACCTTTAAAATCCTATGTATCTATTTTATTTATTTCTTTTTGTCTATTCTGTCCGCCCGATATTATCTTCGAATATAGCAGTATATAGTATAGTATAGCAGAACCAATTATAACGAAACTACGCGAAATAATAGCGCAATGCTGTAACCCAGATATTTTAGATTTTGTCCGAATTGTTTTTTAAATTACTTAGTGAAGTTGATATATAAAATAGTTATAGATTCTTAACTCATATAAGAGATGTTTTTTATTTGCAATTTAAGAAAAAGTAAACTTAAGAAAAAGTATGGATAAACCTTTTTATCAAAAACAAAATAAGAGAATAAATCTATGTACACTATAGATTTTATTTAAAAACAAAATAAGAGAATACATCAAACTAAATTAATTGCTAAAAATAAAAATGTAATCCCAATTTTTTGATGGTTTCACAAGATGGCACTTCCAATCATAAAAAAGACGCGGATATTTGTCAAATGTCAATTCTGACAAGTGACTTGAGTCATGAAAAAATGTAGGTAGCGTGATATTTTTATTTTTTCCGAGTATGGAGTGTAAAAGTAAGGAGTACCAACTCCCATAGTAGAATAGTTGAAAAAGTGGTCATCTGTAAGCAGTAAATAACAGTTCAAAAACTCTCCACAACAGCGCTGAAGTAGCTACTGGGATGAAATGAACTTAGCAGTTATCGACGGTTTAAGTGTGCTGCTAAACTGCTCAGTAACTCTAAAATCTAAAATAATTTTATTTAGTTAATATAACCTCAAAAAAGTCGTCTATCCCATTAATATTTTTCGGCGCGTTCTTTAAAATTTACCCCGTAGCTATAGTGGCGCCACCCTTATTTAAAGGTTTTTATGGACACTTTTTAATACACAGTCTGTACTCCTTACTACTACACTCCATATTTCCGAGCTAAGTCATGTAGTTGAGAATTCGTGAATGAGTTTATTGTGTTTCTTGTGGATTTCTTTGGCGATTTGGTGTTGGTTTAGTGATAAGGCTAACACAAAATTTCAGAATTCAAATAACATTGATGGCTATTTGAATGGATCAATAACCTCATGCCAGTTGACAGCTAACTTCAAAATGATGTCTATCCGCCAAAGTATTGCATTTTTTGGTAAGAATAAAATATTAATACTACTGAAATAAAGGTAACTTCGTGAATTTGAATGATCAAAATTGGTTTAATATTTTATTTTAACTTATTTCCCTTCTAGTACAAAAACAGGACAACGCTTTACCGTACAACATTGGACCCTTACAATATTGAACCATCTCCTTTTAAACTTAAGTTCAAATATATACGAAGCATGACTCTTAAGTTTTGTCGTTTGACCAAAAAAATACGACTAGAACCTTATAGTACTTTTTATTGTTTTTCAAAGTATTCACTACGTACTTAATGTGGCCGTAGAAGAAAATGGGAGATCTCTCGCCGGGCAAGGTGTTCTGCCCGGGGAGCGGCCAACACTCCTTGTGATAGTTCGGAGATGTTCTATATATGCTGTTTGTGATTCGGAATGTTGATAGAGTGATTTAGGCTTCGGTGTGTTTCGCTTGTGGCGCGACGACAGCGCCGCCACAATACTGTTAGGAGCTTAGGGTTCGTGACAATAAAACTGCTGGTTGAATTACCAAAATTGACACTTTAATTACAGAACACCAATTAAAACTAATACACACTAATAAATAATAACACTTAACACTTTAGTTCACTTTATTTCGCTCCTAAGTCTTCACTTGTATCACCAATTCAATACTGCCTCGGTCGCGGCCCTAAACGGCTTTATATAGGCCTTTTCCACCGAAACATCTAGAATGTTCCAGCAAATACCGGTCTCGACCGAGTTAGTGTAGAAAATTCGAGAGTGGACTTTTCTAGAAAGCTTAGTTCTTCTATTTGATAATAGATGGCGCTAGTGCGATGTACCAGGCATCAACTATGGCGCGCAATATACACTTTTCCATTCGCTCGAACCAGTTACTAAAATATTTATTTCACTCCAAACTGCTTCTTCAGTGGGCCGGAACCTTTGACCGCGAAGATTTTTCTTAATTATGAGAAATGTAAAAAAATCGTTACGGCTTAGGTCAGGACTGCATGGAGGATGGTCAAAAATTTCTACGTTTTCCTGCTTCAAATACTCAATCGTTGGACGAGCGATGTGTGAGCTTGCGTTGTCATGGTATAGGATGATGGGTCGCTTTGGGTTAGATTACCGAAATTCGGCGATGACTTGTGGTAAACAAACTGTGATATACCACTCTGCATTAACCGTTCTACGATCTTCAAGTGCAATCGTCGCAACATGGCTGGTTTTCGCAATAAACGTGGCCACAATTTTCTTTGAAGTGCTTCGAGAGCGTACAACTTTAGTCGACTTGGAATCATCTTGGAAGACCCAGATTGTAGATTGTTGTTTAGACTCGGGATCGTAGGCGTAGCTCCAAGGTTCTTCACCACTCATGATGTCGTGGACGTGATTTGATTCTCCGCGGTTGAACCTTTGAAGAGTTTTCTTACACCATCTGTCGCGGGTCGCCTTATGATCGTCGTAAAGTAAATGCGGGATCCAACGGCAAATTAGCTTTCTTACACCAAGCGCTTCATGCAAGATCTTCTGAATGGTTATCCCTGAGATGCCTAATAACGCCTCTATCTCTCAATATGTCACATCAACGATTGTAGAGAATTAGTTTTCTCAGAGCAAAGATGTTATCTTCAGTGAAGGCGGATTTTGGACGTTCTTCAAGAGATTTGTCACTAAGAGTGGTATGTTCCAAATAACAGCGTTCAACAGTCAACAGAAATGGGGCTTAATCATGCAACAAAGAGGTCAGCTCTTCGAAACACTGAAGCCGTGTTAGACCTCTTCGAAAGTTGTAGAAAATTATTGCACGGATATTTTCCTTCGTAAGATTCATTTTCATACGTGACCTGACATTTAAAACCACTCTGTGACTAAGCAATAACATTAATCCTTATACTTTCAATTGTTTTGAGATTCTGACTTTAAACTTCGTTTTTTTACGCGGTAGAACCCCGCTGCAGCTACATTGTAGTTGTGGCACGAATGGGTCGGCCAGACCGGGGCAGGACCACGCTCTCACAGAATACCAGCGTAAAATAATAGCGTTATGCTGCTATGTTTCGAATGGTGAGTGTAGAGAACCGAAGACCCATTTTACTGGAATCGAGGCATTCCATCTTAGTCCTCAAAGGTGACAACGCATTTGCATTTTTATCTTTAGTTGATATGATAAACGTGCATGTCTATGTGCCAGAGCATCCACTTACCATCAGGTGGACTGTGTGCTCATTTGTCACCCAATGCTATAAAAAATAACAAGTTTGAATATTGAACAGTTCCAAATTAAAAATTGCCGGTAAATATGTAAACGACAGGACTTAAAAGGCATGCCTCGGAAAAAATGCTATAGCGTTATTGAAAATACGAGTAAATAAGGCTTCTACTTTTATTTGAAATTATCCCAAATTGAATGTGATTTATGGGCAACAACGTTTTTGCCTGCCGATCGACCCTTACGAATGCGTGCATGCGTATTAAAATCATATAAAATAAATGCGTAAATAAATCAGTTAAAAAGTCTCAAACACTGTCCTTTCTATCTTTTACCACGCAATTTGATATGAAAAAAAGGATAATGTTTGAGATTTTTAAAATCTTTTATTTATCTTCACTTGTATATATGCCCTGAAATTTTGCAATATATAATATTTTACCCACTTCCACTAAAGCTATCGGGCTAAAATTTGGCACACACGTTTGCTTCTCGAAACAACGCACGATTACTTCTTATATGCCGCCATTTTAAATCCAATATGGCGAAAGTTACAAAATAGCGATTTATCATTTCCACAGCAACCCCTATATTGTAGTTATATAATGAAAGGGCTTGATAAACGAAACACAATAAATGAAGTGCATTTATTCTAAATCCAATATGGCGGACGTCGCAGAACGGGCATGTATAATTTCCATAGTCACGCCTATGATATGGGTATCAAACAAAAGGGTTTGATTAGCAAACACAAATTAGTTATAATTCGGCAAAGATTTGGGATAGTTTGCTGGTGCTCTAACAAATGTTGTAGGGCAACATGGTTCAACTGCTGGCAATAAAATATTCAAGATGGCGGATCTAAGTTAGCAATCAAGAACTTAGTTGCTCCAATCCAACTGTATGTATTTTGATGTCGAATTGTTCGGGTCGAATTTCGCAAAAGAATTTTAAAAGTTCGCTTAGCTAAGTGACGTATTAATCACATTATCATTACAGCCTTCACAAGTCCACTGCCGAACATAGGCCTCCCCCAAAGCACGGTCCTGAGCCACCTGCATCCATCGACTTCCTGCATATCTTAACAGGTCGTCACTCCATCTAGTGGGAGGTCGCCCTACACTACGCCTACCGGTACGAGGCTGCCACTCGAGAACCTTTCTTCCCCATCGGTTATCGGTTCTTTGAGCTATATGGCCGGCCCATTGCCACTTCAGCTTACTAATCCGTTGGGCATGTCAGTCACTCTGGTTTTACTGCGGATATCCTCATTTCTGAGTCTATCACGCAGAGAAACTCCGAGCATAGCCCTCTCC